CCCCTCCCTCCCGTTCCACCTCCCCTCCCTGCCTGCCCCCTTCCCCTCTGAGGTGCCCTCTCTGGCGTTGGTGGTCAGGGACTCGAGCTGTTTTCCAGGACTCCATCCTAGGAAGTGCAGCAGGTCCCATTAGGTTCTGGGCAGACAGCCCTGGGTGACAGTGACATACCAAGCCCCAAGGGTTGGCAGACTCTGTGTGTGGACAACCTGTGTCAGCTTGGAGCATCCAGAGGGCAAGGGCTCTGGGGTGTCGGCCCATGGGCCCGTGGGGAAATGGCCTTTGCCGCCCGCCGGCCCTGCGATCGCCCCTCCATGCTCAGCACGGCTGCCGCCTTGCGTGGGGAGAGGGCTCGTTCTGCGGGAAGGTGATGTACTGCCCCCATCAGCGCCCATGGGAGGTGCAGAGCATTGGTGTTGGACAAAGATGCCCTCAGAGGTTCAAGCCCTGGCCCCACTAGTGATCCGCGGGACCTGTGCATATCTTGTCACCTCCTGGTGCCCAAGTTTCCTTATCTGGAAAACGGGACGATACCAGCGCTTACCTCATGGGTCGTCATTGAGGTGGGCTGTTAGAGGGGAAGTGTGTTAGCTATCATTGTCATTCTTGGTACTGTTCTTTCTGCTCTGGCCTGGGCCCCTGTGGGATGTTCCTGGGGGCCCGGATGAGCCCACAGAGTGAGCTCCTAAGCGTGTGTCTGCTGCCGCCTTTGGATGCAGATGTTGGAGGAGCCTGGAGGCCATGAAGGAGGCCAGAATGCCACTCACAGTGCCGACGGAAATAACCAACTCTGTAAAAATGATAATTAATGTGGTTTATTTCGAATCACGAATTTGAGAGACCTAGGCCCCGAAAGGAGGAAAAACATGCCTTTCTCTTGGGGTGAAAGAGAAAGGGGTTCTTTTTACTTGATTTTGAGAGCGAGAGACAGCATTTTGAATTTAGCAAAGAGTTTTTGCGTTGGTCTGGCCCAGAAAGGTGGGCCAAGAGCAAGCGGGGGCTTGCAGGTTATAGGTGGGTCGCACAGTGTTTAGGGTGGTGACTGGGAAAGGGGGCTGCTGAGGCCAGAGAGGAACATGCTTGCACAGTGATGGGGAGGCTCATGATACATCACAGAGATGCTCCAGCACCACGCCGGGCCAGGATGTCGGAGTCCTGTTACCCTTGGGTCAACATGCTCTGTTAGCGCCTGTGGACAGGACTTCCTCCAGGCCCTCTGGAAAGGATTTTGGAAAGATAGGGAAAAAAGCAGACAGACTTCTGTCCACAGCAGCCACCTGCTAACCCGTGCTCAAGGTCCCAGCTGGTGAATGACGTCAGAGTCAAGAGTCCCTTCCAGGCCTGCTGCCCCAAAGCCCTTGGTCCCAGGGCTAAGTGCATTTGGGGGTGGGTGGGGAAAGGTGTCCAGCACGTGGGAAGCCTGGGGCAGGTGGGCGTGTGGCCCAGAGAGCGCACATCTGGGCCTCTAAAGGGTGGCCCGTGAGCTAAGCCTGCGCCTTCTGAGATGAAGGTGAAACCTTCGTGCGGAAGACACTTCTCCAGCCTTCCTCCCAGTTCTCCCTACGGGCAGACGATGTGGATGTGCCACCTTGAGGGGCCTGGGGTGCAGCGAAGCAGCTGCGGAGCTTGTAGGAGTCTAGTTTTACTTTTCATTCATGCACGTCTTACACTGGGCTCCCTCTCACATGCCCTAAGTCACGGCATGCCTGGGGAGGCTGTTTACCTGTTTATCGGGGCCTTTTCCTACCCACTCCTCCACCGTGTTGCCCTGGGGGTGCGCTCCGGTGCAACCCAGGTCCCATCTGCATTGCAGGACCTGGTGGGGACTGCCAGGTGCAGAGACATGGCAGTGCAGGTGGGAGATGAGGCCTGGGCTGAGGCAGAAGCCAGGTGGGACAGGAGAGAGGCCCCAAGTGTGGGCACCCCCCATACATGCCCCTCCGTGAGACGCCAGTGTGAGGCAGTGCTCCATGTCTCCATGGAAGGGCAGGCATGCGCTCTACCTGTCCATCTGAATGCGCTAGGGTGGACCCCATAGCAGCCAAGTCTGTGGGTGAGGGTCAGCCTCCAGCAGCTTTGTAGGTGCAAGCCTGTACTGGCATGACAGCAGGGAGTGGGGGCGTCCAGCGTCTGTACCCCTGCTCCCCCATGGCCTCACTTTCTGTCTCCTTTGCATGTGGAAGAGCAGTTTAACCTCCGGGCATAGCTGGTAGACAGTTCAAGGGCCCAGCTGGGGCTGCCCTGAGGGCACAGAGGAAGCCACGCTGGACATCGTATGGTGCCCACGTGCAGTTTCCAGGGAGGCTTGGGGTGCCCTCAGGGGCACAGCTGGGGACCCCGAGGATCAAGCTCAGCGGGCAATTTAGGGGTTGGTGGACATCCTTTGACACGTCAAAGGGTGTCATAGACATCCCTGGAGCCGGCTGCCAACCGCTGTGGCTGGAACCAGACTGCGGTGGGGAAGAAGGAAGGATGATTTGCCACATGAGACGCAGCGACCAGACCTACAGGGCTCAGGGTGTCACAGCCCCAGTGGCGTTGGGCACGGGTCTGCTTAAGAGGTAGACAGCCAGGCTGGCTGGCCCGCGGGACTGGGGAGACTTTCAGTTTGGGATTTGGCGTGTGAGAGTGGCTGGTGACCAGGCCTAAGGTGGCGAGGGGCAGTCTGCCTTGAACAGACAGCGTCTTAGGTTGGCGGAAGACGGCCCTGAAATGAGGACACCTAGACACCAAGGCAGAGCCCACAGGAGCCTCGAAGGGAGTGGGCAGAAAGACAAGGGGCTGTTTAGGATGAAACCCACTACCCACGGGGCCTCTGGCAGGGGAGGACACCGACCTGAGTCGGGGCTGACGTCCAGGCTGGCCTCCCTCAGTCATTCCTGACGGGACGGGGCTCCATTTCCAGCGACTCTGATTCTCCTGGGGTACAGACCCCGCTCCTCCAGTAGCCTCCATCCTCACAGGGTACTGTCTCAGGTGTGGACAGGCCAGGGGGCCCTGGGACAGCCAGCCCAGCAGGTGTGGGGCTCTACCACGTGCTTCCGTACATGCCCTCAGGAGTCCAGGCCTGTCCCTGGCACACGGGGGGCAGCAGGCAGCGTCTGCAGGCATGCTTGAGGGTGAACGATGTTCTTTCTTGCCCGGGAGGCAGGCTTTTCAAAGCCAGGTGTCGAGAATGGTATTGGAGCAAACGGCAGGGTTGTAGAGTAGTATATATATGGTATTGGAGCAAGCGGCAGGGTTGTAGAGTAGTATATATATGGTATTGGAGCAAGCGGCAGGGTTGTAGAGTAGTATATATATGGTACTGGAGCAAGCGGCAGGGTTGTAGAGTAGTATATATATGGTACTGGAGCAAGCGGCAGGGTTGTAGAGTAGTATATATATGGTACTGGAGCAAGCGGCAGGGTTGTAGAGTAGTATATATATGGTACTGGAGCAAGCGGCAGGGTTGTAGAGTAGTATATATATGGTACTGGAGCAAGCGGCAGGGTTGTAGAGTAGTATATATATGGTACTGGAGCAAGCGGCAGGGTTGTAGAGTAGTATATATATGGTACTGGAGCAAGCGGCAGGGTTGTAGAGTAGTATATATATGGTACTGGAGCAAGCGGCAGGGTTGTAGAGTAGTATATATATGGTACTGGAGCAAGCGGCAGGGTTGTAGAGTAGTATATATATGGTACTGGAGCAAGCGGCAGGGTTGTAGAGTAGTATATATATGGTACTGGAGCAAGCGGCAGGGTTGTAGAGTATATATATAGTGCAGTAAAGGACGCTAGTGACCTTGTTTTGAATTTGTCACCGGGTACATACACTGCCAGAGGGAGTGGGCATCCCCCAATGGGGCCTCGTCACACCACAGCCCCTTCCTCCTTTCCTTACCCTGTTGGGATTTGGGGCAGGCATGCACTCGTATCTGGTGTCCTTTTCAAGCCACCCGTTCATGACTTGAACTGCATGGTTGGCCACGTGGGATCCAGCCCCATTAACCACCAGGCCATGGTGCCAGCCCCGTCCGTGACAAATATGTATTTGCTAATAACCGGCAGAGCAAATCTCCAGTATGCACAGTACAGAGTAACAATAAATGTCAGAGAAGGCAGATGGATTTCTCTCCTGGACCTGATTGTTACACTGTCCCACAGAAATGTACAACTACCCTACATAAATCAGAAGTTACAAGGGGAGTTACTGAACAAAATAAAGGATCTGGGGGCCGGCTCTCCCTATGGGCCAACCGCTCCTTCTGTGTTCCTAAGCTCGGCCCCTGCCCCAGAGGGGCCTGTCTGCTGGGGGAGGCCAGAGGCCGCCCTGACACCAGGAGTAGGAGCGACTTGGATGTGACATGCGGATGCCTTTAGCTCAGCCTCACGTCCACAGTGGGTGCTTAATCAGGGAGAGCTGCTGCGGTGACCATAGCTGCTGGGGACTAGCGCCCCTGACCGTCCTGCGGCCACAAAGCCCTGGAGGTTGGGGAGCTGTCCTCTGAGTGGGACCCATGGGCCCTGGCCTTCCCAGCATCGTAGCCTGACCCAGCAGGGTGGAGTGGGTCCTTCAGCTGCTACTCACAGTCTGACTGTCCCGACCGTCCAGGCTGCCGACCTGAGTTTATGTGGGATGCTGCTGGGGACCGGACTACAGTACTGCCCCCAGCAGGCAGGGAGGGCAGAGCAGTGGGAAGAACAAGGCTTTGGAGTCCTCTAACGTGGGGTGAACCTGGTTTCTTCATTGCTGGGGACGGTCACCAGTAGACTCCCAGCCAGGAGCCTCGTTTCCCCCTCTTCTCGGTGGGGGTGATTCTAGCTATGCAGTCAGGGTGGGAGAATGGAGTGGGAGTGAGTCACGTGGGCACCGAGTCCTAGACTGAGCTGGGCGACTGTGGGCAAGGGCCTCCACTGGCCCTCACCTCAGCTCGCACTCTAAGATCCGGCCGGTGGAGATCTCTCTCCTTCTTGGGGCCCTATCAGAGGAAGTGACAAGCACCTGCTTTCTGTTACAGCCCGTGTCCTTGTAGGCTGGCATGCAGGATGGCAGGACAGCCCGGCCACATGCCCCATGGAGGGAGCCCGAACAACCTCTGCCACACTCCGGGACCTGCACACCCTCCCGACCCACAGGTAAGCCCCCTCCCTTTGCAGTGCTTTGTTGCATCTTCAAGGAACAAGATTCCTGGGGTTCCTTTGTCTGAGTCCCAGGCACTGGAGAAAGCCCTCTCAGCACCCCCAGACAGAGCCTTTTCTCAAATGCTTCCAGTGACGGGAAGCTTACTACCTAACCTAGTGAGCCCTTCATGTAATTCAGAACCTGCGAAGCCTCCCCTGTGCTGGGCTGGGCTGCCAGACCTGGGTCCTACCCCGGGGATTTACATGTGAATGGATTAGAAGGGGACAGAGAGGGCGGTGGTGGTGGCCAGAGGAGGGTGAGCACCTCAGGGAATGGGCAGGGGTGGAGGGGCAGCCAGTGTCTGCCGTCCTTGCTGGCTGTAAGGGTGCTCTGACCCTCCTCCACCTCTTCATTTATGACCAGCAGAGCCTGGGGGAGCACGGGTTTCCACATACCTGCTGTCCTGTGTGCAGATTCCTGGCTGAGCAGCCTGGCCTCTGGGTGTCTGAGCTGCTGTCACACCCCATGCCTTGACACACGCTGCTCCCTGGGCCTGGAATGCCCTCCCCAACTCCTCCTCCGAGTCGTAGTCCAATTGCCGCTGCTTCGGGAAGACCACCTGCTCCAGCGCTGCCCGGCCCTGCCCGGCCCTGCTCACCCCTCTGTGCCACCTCACACCTGTGCACACACACACCTGGGTCACGGCCATGGTCACTCCCACTGGGGACTCGTTTCCGAATCCTCCAGAGTGGGGTTTGCCCGCTGACTGTGTCCTAGGCCAAGCGCAGAGGAGCCCCTGGTGCCTGAGTTAACGAAGAGCAGATACGTGTGCGTGTGCGGGGGCCCGCGGGACACAGAGCCAGGTCTGCTCTTCAGAAGTGCGCGGCCTCAGGACAAAGTTAACTGAGCGGCAGAAACTTGGGGGCCCATGGAGCCCCTCAGGGCACCCAATCCAAACGGGGGCCAGAGAGGCTTTCTCAAGGACATGGCATGCACAGGCCTGGAGGGGACAGGCAGCTTGTCCAGGCGGGTTGTCTGCGGCCAGATCTCTAGAATTCTGTGCCGTCTGGAATGATGGGAAGTTCTTGTCAGAGGTGGCTTTTACCCCAAGGCTGTGAGACCGTGGTCAGGGAAATCCAGAGCCAGCCACCTTCCTGAGCTACCGAAGGCTATCATGGCTCCTTACTGTGGAAGAGCTCAGGTGAGCTGAGACTTGAGCAAGCGTCCCCATGTACAGTGGTACAGGTTAGGCACGGCACAGAAGTGCCTGGCCGAGGAGGCAGGTGGGGCAGGAACCCTTCCCCGTGTTTTCACTCTCACCAGGCCGTGCTCCCTGGCTATACCGCTTCCGCCCTAAGGAAGGTTCACCACTGCAACTTCATCTACCATGGAGGTGTGCAGGCGTGAGTGTGTACGTGCACACTCACAAGCATGTGGAGGGCCCATGGGCATCGAGACTATCTGCACCCCCTTTCCTGTTCCTGGCTGGGACACAGGGGCCTTTTTCCTGGTAGAATTTGGAGAGGCCGATCCCAGAAAGCTGGGGAGCCCTAGAACACTGTAGGTCAAGTCCCCCAAGATGCCGCACTGATGGCTGGGGGCGGCGGGGCCTCCTCGGGTAATGTAGCAATTTGTCATATTAAGTCATTCACTAACAGTCGAGTCCCCCTTGATTAATCTCCTAGAATTAGCCAGTTGCATTTCGAGCAATTAGGGTTAATTACAGCCTCATTTGGCAGAGGAGAGAGCCCCGTAATTATTTCACGAACAAGGCAAGGAGCGGTGGGCCGTCGCGGCGGCAGTGTCGCGGCATCTCGCTGCACACGTTGGAGTGGGTAACGACACCGGGAAGTGGTGCTGGGCTGCTCCGGGCAGCGGCATCCGGGGACAATGGCCCATCCCGCCAGTACCCGTCTCGGTGTGCAGAACTGTGTAAGCCGTGTGGGCGCCCGGAATGGCCGTGACTCGAGACCAGAGGCCCCTTCCCTCCTGTGGAGGCTCTGCTATCTCCTTGCGGCCATCCTGAGGGCAGGAGCCAGGACGGGCCAGCAAGGACACTCCGACTGGGCCAGGCTGGCTTCTGTTCCCACCCCCAGCCCTCCACAGCCAGATGGTGTTGAGTAAATGCCCTCCCAGAGCCTCAGTTTCCCCGTCTGTAGAACAGGGACAGTAATGATCCATTGTTGGGGCCGATGGCGGTGCAGTGGCAAAACAGGATGCTGTGCGAGGCCGGCCCACGTGGGAAGGTTCTGGTTTGTATCCCTGAGTGTGCAGGGCACGCAATGTGCCCATGATCTGGGCCGGCTGAGGCTGTGGGTGCACAGTGACGCTGTTGGCAGTCCTCGGGGCTCTGTCTCTCTGGCTTGGAAGAAATTAGCTAAGTAAACTTGAAAATAATGATACGTTGTTACCATGAGGCAATTGTGATGACCCAGCAGACACCACGTGGCACTTCTGGTAGGTGCTGAGGACATGGTATGTCATGAATCTAATCCTCACAGTTTAAAAACCACGTGAGCTGGGCCAGCAGGGGGCTCGGAGGTTAAGGCAGCTGGATCTCACCTGGCCGACTTCATGGTTCAAGTTCTGGACCCAGTGGCTTGAAAATTATACCAAGTGTGTGGGTGTATGTGCCCAAAATAGTGAGAGGAAAATGGAGAAGGGATTTGCTTTCTCACTTTTCCTCTTTCTCTGTCTCAAGCGAGCACACATTCCCTATAGCAAAAAAAAAAAAAGATTTTCACAGCTGAAGAGCCCAGAGCTGGATGATACTCCCCTGTGTAGAAAGAACATAAACTTGGGACCAGCAGATGGCATAATGGTTGCGTCGCTGGACTCCCATATAATCAACTGCTGTTTGAGTCCTGGACCCAGTGGTTTGCAACTCACACTAGGCACGTGTGCAAGCCTGCCCAAAATCCTGAGAGGAGAATGGAGAAGGAATTGCAGTGTGGCCATCCCCCGCAGGGAGTGATTTCTCACTTTCTGTCTCTGTCTCTTCGGCGAGCACACGTGACCTATAGCTAAAATCTCTCTTTTTAAAAAAAATGAAAAAAAAAAAAAAAGAACATGAACTATAACCACTCAGCCTGTGGTTTTTGTTAACCTTTTGTGCCCAGTGCTAGTGGTCTGTTTATTTCAGGAAACTTTCTAGCTCTGAAAGCACACCAAAATATATTTGCCGAACCTGGTGTATTATATGTGAAATTTGTACATACTAAGGAAAGCTGAATATGCTTGCTCTAATTGCAGGTTTTGCTTTTTTATTTATTTTTAGGAGAGATTTTTGCTATAGAATGTGTGTGCTTGCTGGAGAGACAGAGACAGAAAGCAAGAAATCACCACCACCACCACCCCCAGGGGGGATGGCCACGCCACAGTCCTTTCTCCTCCATTCTCCTCTTGGGATCTTGGGTACACACACACACACACACACACGCGCGCGCGCGCGCACACACACCTGGCGTAAGTGTAAGTCACTGGGTCCAGGACCCGAACTGTAGTCGACTACGTGGGAGTCCAGCGACGTAACCATTATGCCATCCGTTGTCCCCTCTTATTGCGGTTTTAATGGATGAATGGGCAGAGTTGAGAAAAGGAGCTCCCACCGCCCATGCTTCCTGGCTTTACCACGGTACCGCAGAGCCTTCCATGGAGAATGAAATGCACGGCTCAGACGACCCTCTAAGAAGCACACGCATCTCCAGGAAGGCGAAGGTGTCCTTGCCTGAGAAAGCCGTTAATGTGTCTTCCATCTGGAAAGTCTGCAGACCTGCTTGCCGCGCGCCAAGTTCAGTTCTATGTGGGCGCTACTCCACGAAAAGAATGTGCATGACTTCACAGGTCTTGGGGTAGCTGCTGCTAGCTGTGCATTGCAGGGACCAAGAGATGATGGTAGCACCAGCTAGTAGTGTGGGGCTAAGGCCCTGCATCTCACACAGCCACTAGCATGGTTCAAGTCCCAGACTCAGTGGCTTAAAAAACGCACCGGGCTCGTGTGCATGAATGCCCAAAATCCCAAGAGGTGAATGGAGAAGGGATTGCAGGATGATCATCCCCCCATGGGGAGGATGAAATTTCAGACATTTCTCACTTTCTCTCCCCCTCCCAGGAGTGCTTGTGTCCTATAGCAAATTCAAAGTAAAAAGAAAAAAAGAACAGGAAATGATAGTAGCTGGATAAGGCTTAATGACCAGCTGCTGAGGGCCGTTAGCATTCAGTATTTGCCAACTGTCAGTTTAGCGAACAGTTTCCTTCCTGCCCAGGGCCTCCCCGGTGCCAATGCCTGCCCCCTGCCCTCAGGAGGCTTGCAGGCTGCTGAGGAGCCCCACACGTATTCTAAGGAGATAGACAGCGTGGAGAGGTGGAAGCCCCAGAAGGGTGGGCAGATGCAGAGGGAGCCCATAGCGTGGGCGGTTGGTTCTGCCCAATGGATGAGCAGAGTTCGGGGTAGAACAGGAAGAGGAAGGGACACAGTGCAGGCCCAGACTCGAAGGCACCTGGCCAGTCGGGCTGGGTAAGGTGTTTCAGTTCCTGTGCTTTGGGCTGGACCCAGAGCCCAGTGGTTAAGGAGCCAGATCTCACACGTCTGACCAGTTCAGAGCCCTGCCCGGTGACTTGAAAGAACACGCCAAGTGCATATACATGCATGCTCAAAATCCCAGAAAGAGGGGAGCAGTGTGACCAGGCCCCTTTGGGTCTCTCTCTCTGGCAACACACGTGTCCCTCTGGCAAAAAGGAAAGAGAAAAAAAGAAAAAGCCGTGCTTAGCCAAGGCGGCCTGGAAGGTGGTCGCGAGCGTCTTGAATCCACACTGCATAACCTGAAATGGAATCTGGAGCGAACGGGGAGCCCGCTGTGACTTCAAGTTGATGAGAGAGTCGTGGGGTTTGGGTTTTAGAGAGGTCACTGGTGGCTGGGGCTTGTGGCTCCTGTGTGGTTACAGCAGGGAGGGAAGAAGGCCCCTGCCTCACCGGGGAGAGATGACTTGCCCCAAGTGGGTCCTCAGCCTTGGGAGCTGGGCACAGGGAGGGAGGACTCCAGACACCTCTGGGGAGAAAGCCAACCGCACTTGGTAGCGGAAGAAGGAGAGGAAGGGGCCAGGGATGGTCCCACCCCTGACTTGGCTGCTGCATCTCTGTGTGGTTTCACCCTTCGGGTCTTTGCTGGAGCTGGTTCCCAATTCTCTCACCCCTGCATTTAAGCTCAGCATTCCCGAGGTGAATAAGGATGGTTCTGGGGAGTCCCTGCCATTCAGGTGATCTGAGGCTCGCTGTGCCGTGGTGTCCACTCGCTGTTCCCCTGAGCTGAAGGCCCACAGAGCCTGGCCTGGACCTGTACATTGAGGTGGGGTGGTTGTGCCGACAGTGGGGTGCCTGACCTAGCCCCCAGTCCTCCCACCAGCTCAGAGAAGCGGGTCCCATTCAGTACCCCATCGTGCAGGGCGGAGTCAGGTGAGAAATCTCCCACTCGGCTGTCAAGGGGCAGAGTCGGGATTCTGTCCAGGCCCTTGTGACTCCGCAGTGTGAATTCGGGCCACTAGGACTTGGAGCGGGAAGATTGGCTTAGGGGTGAAAACTAGCCCGATCATGAGGAGCTGGCCAGGCTTGGCCTCCTAGGCAGCCGACAGTGTGAGCTCTTTGTAAAGCGCGCCCTTTTGTGGAATGCAGATCTGAAACATCGCTGGGTACACACGGCCCGAGTCCGTGAGGCGTCGCCCACACACAGTGTCAGATGTCTTTAAAGGTGAAATTCGTTTACAGGAAATGTCATTCTGATGAAGTGAGCTTTTTAAAATCGTAGAAACAGCGGCCTTAAAATTAATGATGCATTGCAAATATCAGGGAAAAAGGCCCATCCAGTGTAAAGATGATTAAAATTCAGGTCAGAAGTCTGACTTAGTCAGGCTAAATTTTTTAATGAGATTTCAGAAAATTAATTGGGCGAATGCATTTTTATTCTTTTAACATGTAATTTTATGCTCCTGTTTAAGAAAATAAAAAGAGGATTCGTCGATGTCTGAAGCTTATTTTGGTTCAAACATTTTAAACTCAAATTAGCACAGGGTGGGGGTGTTTGTGGCCTAATTTGATCTGTCTTGGGAAAGACAGCCTGGGTTTCTCGGCGCTTTCTGGATGGGGGTGGCCCAGATGGTCCGCGATCCCCCCCACCCCACCCGTTTCCCCAGCTGCCTGCCTCGACAGCATTTCTCCACAGGGCGAGTTCGGAGCAAGGTGACCCTGGGACCTCGGCCACCTCCAGGTTTTCTCCGCTGACCAGGGTTGAGGCTTTGCCCTCCCTCTCCTCCCTCAGATCTGACCTGTCACCCCAGGCAGCTCAGGCCTCCTCCCTTGGGCCCGGTGGGACTGGCAGCGGAGTGTGGGGTGGGTGCCATGGGGTCGGTGACCTCCCAGCCCCTCGGCTCCATATCCTCTCCCGTTGGGGGAAGTTAAGGGACCCCATGGCCTGGGGAAGGGCATGAGGGAGGCCAAGGGCAGCGAGGGCAGGTGCACACCTGGACAGCGGGTGACGAAGTGTCCCTTACCCACAGTGCCTGACTGTGGCGGTGGCGGTCATCTTGCATCCTGGTCAGCAGAGCTCCGTGGGGTGAGATGGTGATGGCTATGCCAGCAGCTGAGCACACCCTGAACTCGGTTCATTCCCGGTGCTAGAATGTAGGTGCCGTCACTAGCCCCACGCCACAGACAGCAGTATCAATAATAATGATGGCAACAGTAATAGTAGCCAACATGTTGCACTGCCAACGTGCCAGGCCCGCTTCTCGTTGCTTTCACCCAGTAATTCACTTAAACTCCCAGCAGCCCTGGGAAGAGGGCACGGTTAGGTGTACAGATGAGGAGACCAAGGCCCAAAAAGGGCTTGCCCAGGCCCACCATCAGGAAGCGGTAGGGTCATGGCTCGAACCCAGACCTCCAGGCTCCGTGTCAGGGTCTCAGTGGAAAGAGTACGCCATGCCCCAGGGGACGTGTTTATTTTCCCTAGGAACCAGCCTCCGGTCTCAGACAGAGCGGGGGACAGTTAGCAGGTGATGTCCAGTCTAAGAGGCCATCAGGGCCGTAGGTCATTAGACATTTTTCCGGGAGCCACCACGAGTCTGCCTTTCTGAGTTTGCCCAGCAGTTTAGAAGCCCCCCAGGCCCTCATCACCAACATCACCTTCTGGAATCCTCTGAGAACATCTGGGGTCATTGGCACCTCCCCAGGTGTGGATGACAGCTCCAGGGTCACTTGGCTGCAGGGGCCAGAGCAGAACTTGCTGGGGGCTGACCCAGGAGGGGAGGAAGGCCCTGGAGGTGGCAACTGAGATGGGCCTGACCTTCCAGGGCGAGAACTCAGTCCACTCCTTCCAGCTCGGGGGCCCCCCAAGTGGGGTGAGGTCAGGCGTCTGCTGGCTCAGGCAGTGCCCTGGGAGCCCTGGGTCCCAAGGTGCTCCACCACACCTGAGCAGAGGCCACTGGGGACAAGGCCCCCCGCCAGCCCTTTGAGGGCAGTGCCGCCAGAGCCTGCTGGTCTGTGCCCCAGCACGGAGCTGCTGCCCCCACGGAGCACTTCCCTCTAATTAGGTCGGATGGGTTGTGGCAGGAAATGCAAATCTGGGTCATCCATATGCAGATGTGCAGCTGGAGCTGGGCGCTGGGATGTCGCCTGCTCACCACATCCACCCCACTGCTGCTGCTTGGGTCACTGCGGGTCCTCCCCGCTGGCCCACCTCCTGCTCTGCACGGTGACAAGCAACATCTTGTTCCCAGAGAAGGGCTTCCTGGAAGCCCCTCACTGGGCCAAGGGGGAAAGCAAGGCCAGGAGGGGAGGGCTCCCCACCCCGTTTCACCCAGGGGTACTGCTGGCTCTAGATCCACAGGGCGATCGGGTCCCAGCCCTGCTGACTAGCCGTGTGGCTGTGCCTCGGTTTCCGTGTTTGCACACGGGCTGCGTAGCTCTTGTTCTCCAAGGCTGTGGATGCAAGACCGGATCTGGGGACACAGCTCCGGGGGCAACTGCCGTGGCGGGGCCTGCTGCCCAGCAGCTTGTCACTTGGGGACTGTGTGTGATTTCCACCGGACTCCTGGAGGCGACGGTGCCCATGTCACAGCCGCACTGCGCACCAGGCTGTTTGAGTATGTTCCATGTGTCGCTGACAGACAGGCTCTGGGCAGGTCGGAGCTTCAGTGCAGGGGACACAGGAGGGACTGAGACAGGGACCATGGGCTGGGCACGGGACAGGCACAGCTGGATTAGGAACCACAGCCCTGGCTCAGTTTAAGGTCTTGAAAGGAAAGCAGAGGGCTGAGGTGAGAGGTCCCCCTGGACGGAACACAGGGCGCCATAGTCCCCAGCCCGGGTCAACCCCAGCTCTGCCATTGCTTGCTGTGGGATCTGCAACAGGTGGCTTCTTCCTCTTCAAGCCTCGGTTTCCCGAAATGGGGATAGCAGTGAGAGCCCCTCGTAGGGTGTTCTGAGCTGGTGTGTGGGTGCATCTGCACAGTGCCCAGTGAGCCCTGAGCACTCCGTAATGCTTGCTGCTCTTGGGTGGGTGCTTGGCGGGTTGGTAGGCTAATTTCAGTTAGTTGCTAAAGAATTCACCCGACAGCCATCAGCCCTGGTGGGCAGAATCTCTTCCTCCTCCACCACCAGGCCTCCTGCTCCAGTCCCAGGGCGAGTGTCTTCAAATCACCCACCACGGGAGGTCAACTTTTATCTTGCCAAGGGAGAGAAGCAGTGTGATTACGATTACAGACTGGGAGGTCGTGGCAGGAGGATGTCGCGGAGTTCTTGGGCAGAGCTGCGACCATGCAGCAGCTTAGCAGAAGGCCAGAGAGGCACAGGAAGCCAGAGCCTGGACCAGGATGTGGCTGCTCAGAGCCTCGGGGCTCTGTACACGTGCCCCTGTGCACCTGCCCCCCACGGTGGCCACACACTCTGTCTTCTCCATTTACTGACGCACAGAGTGGCTTTTTTTTTTGACCCAGGACACCCGCCACCCC